AAGTCTGTGTCTCTCTGATTTAATAAAAATCAGAAGAAAAAATGGATTTGTAAGGATTTATCTTCCTATATATATGTATAGCATTCTCAAACCCCAAACTTTAATATTCTTTAAAATAAAAAACTTAATCAATAAAAAAGAAAGCAAATTAACCTATTAGTTAATTTGTTCAGAATTTTCGAGTTAGTTTTTCGTCTTACTCTGCCTTGAATTATAATTAACTTGGTAATCTTGTTCTGATGAAAATAAGAGATTTTATATTTAAATTGTAAAACATGTGAGTCGAGTAGTGGGTTAAAAGATGAAAAAAAGTTGTTTTTAATTGTATAACTCAAAATTAAAAAATAAAAAATTATAATTAACTTGAATGTGTGAATGAATTCATAAAAGGAAGAGGTTACCTTTTCAATCCAAAATCCTTCATGGCCAATGCAACTTCTTGTGTTCGGAGTTGATTCATTTTCTCATCTACCAATTTCTTTTCCACTTCAATATCTAATTTACATGTTCCTTTGAGGCTCTCACCCATGCAAAATGGTTTTTCCATGATGAGTCCAGTTCCTTCACCACACACGTAAGCTAGTAAAAGCACACATTAAATATTCTAAAGATGATTAATGTTTTTTATAATAAGAATCCTATGAAAATCAAGAGGCAATTATAATTAAGTACACAAGGTATGAAAACGGTATACTTGAATATTACCGGTTGAAACATGGAGAAGCATCATTATTCGAGGACATTTTTTTGCAAAGTTCAAGACATTAAGAGCTCCAATTGTATTGACACCCAATGCAACATCATATCTACAAAACAAAATTAAAAGCTTTGTTAAACTTAAACAATGGCACAACCAAGGATGGACCTCGAACAAGATTAAATTAGGAACCAAAAGTATTTTTCCATAAATATAATATAAATTATAACATATATATAATATAAGAGATAACTAAATATGAAAAATTATTCTTTAGAAATGTCAATAATCAAAATATTATACCTATTTATATTTTGATATAGCAATTGAAAACAAACAAGTGGAGTAGAACTTCAAAGATAAAAGCTTAAAAGCAAACAATCAATTTATCGTGTAATTAATTTTTTAATTTTTAATTAGATTTTAAGGCTATGCATTAAACATACAGTATCTTTGCGTCATCCTTGTATTTTGCATAGTTTCAATCTTTTTTCAATTTACGGTTTTAGGTTTTATTACATGCAGTCATTACATTTTATTATATATAAAATTTATTATTAATTGTAAACTTTTTTCAATAATTAACTCTATTATACCTAAATCTTTGTATTTATTTTACGAAAAGGAAGGACTTGTGTCCAACATTTACCTTAAATAATTTTACCACTGAAAATCACACTTTAAATTATTTTATTTGGTCACGTTATCGGAGATTCTAATGACTGCTTTATAAAAAAAAATTAATATAAAATATAAAAAATTGTTGATTGCTTTATGCCATTAACTTTGTAAAGAACAATCACAGAAAACAAAAACACTTTATAAACATATTTTCTTTTATGTCAAATAAATTCTTTTACACTGGATTTAGGTCCTTAATTAACTAAAATTTTTGACTCAATATTTGCTTATTTCTTATATTTAA